ACAGTGTGCAAACAGTAATAGCATGTTTATAACAGTCCAAGGTCTCTCTAAGCCTCAAAGCTTTTTATTTTATCAGAACAAGAGGTGGCAACAGATGTTGCTGAGCCTCAAGGCAAAAGGTACTGCAGCTCAATACAATACATCAAAACACTCTCACAAAACTCTTCAAAAAGTCTTAAGCACAGCTTAAATCAACTCAAAATCCTTAACATGCACAATACACAACTCAAAGCTTCATGCTCTAAGCAAAAACCAATCACAAACATGTCCACAAGTGCCAAAGAGTACAGATCTCTGTTCACAAGCTTTCAAACTGATCACAGACCCACAGAATTCAAACCTATATGATCCAGAGATATAAAACACAATTAAACACTGTCCAACAGACCAAAGAGTTTGAACCTCTGCCACCTATAGTGTCACATGTCACAAATATCTCAAAAACTCAAGATGATGCTCTTCAGACACCACTCTCTTATTCTCAGATTAGATTGCAATCTAAAACCTCTTTATCAAACTGGGCTCAAGTCCTTCACAAGCTTTGATATCTCACTTAGTTCTCACAATGCTCTTAAGAATATCTAACAATCACTTTATTCTCTCACCCAAAGTTACTAACACAAATCCAGAGCTAGAGTGCAAGGCTTTCTGTGCCCAATACACTGTAACTGTAGGGGTCAGAAACTTGTTCTCTACTCATACAATATCATATTTAAATACTCTACTATAGTACTTACTAATACAATCCTATTATAGTATCTTCAAAGCATGAGACTCTATGCTGGATCCCACAGATATTATTTGTGCATGTATCATAGTTGCCATGCTTATTCTCTTCTGAGCTAGGACTATACAATATTTTCTCACTAGTTGATCTTGGCTAGCTAGCCTAGCCCAGTCTGCTCACTTTCTTATTTTCTTGGTGATACATCTCTGACAGTGGTAAACTGTTCTGGACCTCCAGAGTTATCTCCTATGTCTGGAGTCAGCCACAATAGTTATGTTCTCTTCTCTAGTGTCTCAACATTTCCTCTGACTTATAAATTGCACCACTTCTAGCCTGACATGTATTAATTAACTTACCCAATATGGTATATATCATACTATAGTATGATACAGAGTCTCTTACTGTGTTAAGCATGCTAAGACACTGTAAGTATGCATGCAAGTCTCTGAGCAGTACACATGCTATTTATCTCTGGGGGTAGTATTCCTCTATCTATTTCTTTGTTGCCATCATATCATTTCTCTGTTCAGCACCTAGTTATTCAGATACCTTTCTTTGGGTCTCAGTTCTCTGTTCTAAAGCATGTTATATCAGTGCATCATTGATCAATGTGATCAGAATTGCTGATCATATTTCAATCATATTTTTTTTATTTTTAGCATGTCTTCTTATAATAGTATTAGTGCATTTAGGGCCAAGTGCTGGGACCTCACATGCAGTCTAACCCCTCTGGTATTAGTCTGCTACTAGACCATGCACTTTACTCCTTGTTACTTCAGTTTAGCCTTATGATGGCTAGGTTTCTATGCACTCTTACTCTATTTTCTATTACATGCTTATTAAACTGAAATACAGTCTATGTATTCTCAATTTTTGTAATTTTACATATCACTGCTCCACCCAAATGAGGTCCCTTCATCACCATAGACCCATATCTTGGTAGACATGATCACCAGGCTCTCTGACTACAATAGCTATGATGCCATCATCATCATAGTTGATTGATTCTCTAAGACAATCATCCTGATTGCCTGCTCAATAGAACTAACCTCTAATAAATAGGCAAAGATTCTACGAGATGAAGTCTATACCAAGTATGACATGCCACAGATCATCATTTCTGATAGGAGACCACAATTTGTCTCCAAATTCCTAGACAATCTGTATTGACTACTTAACATCAAACAGAATGCTTCCACAGTCTACTATCCACAAACCAATGGACAGACAGAATGAGCAAATCAAGAGGTGAAAAAATACCTCTGCTTCTTTATCAACTATTGACAGGATGACTGGGTTGAATGGCTGGCTCTTGCTGCCTTCTAATATAACAACCGAATTTACTCTATTATGAAGAAAACCCCATTCTTTGTGAATCACAGCTAACATCCAAACATTGCTCAGACTGCATGATATTGAACTACTATGTCTGCCTCCACTAACTTTGCTGCAACTATGACAGCAATCTATAATGAAACCAAAACAGCCTTTGAACAGATAGCAAAAACAATAAAGACTCAATATAACAAATATTGCCATATAATACACAAGTATTCAGTCAACAACAAAGTCTGGCTGGATACCACCAATCTCCACCTCCCATGACCAAAGCATAAACTTACTGATAAAAGAACTGGCTCATTTCCTATCCTAACTAAGGTTAACACATCAGCATATAAACTTCAGCTACCACCAATCTGGAAAATACACAATATCTTCAATGAGACATTGTTAACTCTATATATCGCACCAGCATTCTCCAACCAGAAACAGCCACTGCCTCCCTCTCTAGACCTAATCGATGACAAAGAGCATTATAAAATCAATCAAGTCTTAAACCATAAACTTCAAAAAATCAAAGCCAAAGGGAGAGGCATGACAACAACTGTTGATTATCTGGTCAGCTGGAAGAGTTACAGCCCAGAATCTAACCAGTGGATTAATGAAAAACTCATGAATGCTGATGATGCCATACATGACTACAAATTATCCCTAAATTAAGCTATCAGAATGATGGTTTTAAAGAGGAGGTAGTGTTATGATTTTTTTATTTCTTCTTTGATTTAATCCCTATTTATGCTTAGTCAGAGTGCTAAGACAGATGCTTAGGACCATGAGACAAGACTTAGTCATTACAACTGGCCAAGTCTGTCATTGTTTTTTGATGCAATAGCATTGCCTGATAATGCACAATCAATCTTTTATGTACAGTATCAATGCCCAAGGGCAATAGGCACAAAAGACTCAGCAATGCACAATTAGCAGTAGTATATTTAGATATGACTTGTACAGTATTTAAGACAGCTCACTCTCACTGGTAATCTTCAGCTTTGAGCTAAAGTTTATCTTCACATCATTCTACTCTTGAGCTGATTCATTTGGCCTTATGACACATTGATCAGATTACATATCAGTGAACTCAGCTGATTCTTCAAAGTGTGAGAGGATTAGGCTATTTATTATATGTAACTGTTTATATGATACTTGAGTCTAACAGAGACCTGCCAGCATTGCAAGCAGTCACTCACATGAGACCTCCAGAGCCAGCCAGCTCTGGCCTACACTCCAAGCCCTGAGGAGTTTCTCCTCAGGCCCTAGACCAGCCAAGATCTCAGTCTATCAATCTCTGCATGCCACTATACTATCAGCCTCTATCTCTACCTCATGACTCAGAACTATCTCATCCTACACTAGGTCAATCAGATGAGAGATCAGCAGAAAAGGAAAAGAGCCCATCTAGACATCATCTTTCTCTCCCACCCCTTGATAGTCATCTTCTTTCATGATCAATCTAAACAGTGCCAGCTCTATGCTAACAGACAATGAGAAGGAGCAGATGGCATGGCTGGCAGAAGAGTTTCAGAGGATGTGGGAGAAGACAATAGCAATGCTGCTGGACTTGATTAGCTGGAGAAAGAGAAAACTGGGATATCACTGGTTGACTTTTCCATAGGCCACTGAGAGAGAGGATATTTTTTATTACAGTGTCCAGATGATGGCAGTTTTCAATTTCAATCAGCTTTATCTCTATTGCTTATATTTAATGCCAAAACCATACTAATACAAATAGTATGATCCTGTGCATGCTGAACTAGTGTCTTATACCAAGATGCCAATGAACCTCTGGCAGAACAGCTTCTGCCTTCTTGCAGAGGCTGATCCTATGCCAAATCCATGAGACACTATTCCACCAGTTGCTCCACTGGTAAATATGCACAATGCTAAGCTGTGGATTCCAGATCTGATGGCTCTACCACCTTTGCTGCCTTTGTCAAGCAGGCCAAGTGGGAGATCAGCAGGAATACCTGCTGATTGAAGAAGTCTTTAGTCTCTTCCATAGAGACCAAACAAATAGCAACTATTGAGTCCATCTCAATAGCCAATAGGACAGATGAGAGATGAAGCTCTATGGATGAACACTCATTTTAAACACATTCAGGAATCTGCCCCCTTCAAGAGGCAGTATGAAGACCTGGACTGATTTCTGATTCAATGCAATATGTATTTCAAGATGCATATGGTCTCAATGTTTCTTGACTCACACAAGATTACTTTTGTGACTTCCTACTTTGAGGAGAAAGCACTGGACTGATAGGTCCTTAAATCACAGAAATATTGGTCAGCTTCCACCAGCCATCATCAATTTCCTATATGGGCAAGATTTGTGGGAGAACTGTAGGTCAAATTCACTGGCCCTGCAATTGAAGACATGCATCTCAAGAAGATGTATAAAATCTGTCAAGATACTTGCATCACCACTAAGTACTTTGTTGATCTTGAGAAAGAGACAAAGCTTGCTGGTGAAACCACTGACAAGATGAACAAAAGTCATTTGGTTAGAGCCCTGAAGATCAATGTGCTCCAGAAGCACATCAATATGATCAGCATAGTTGGCAAGTTCATGCCAATCAGATATAACAAGTGGAAGGAGAGAGTGCTTATTATGGACACCAAGTGGCAATACTGCATCTAAGAACTCTTTGAAGGTGTTAACTCTTTTTCTCACACAGCAGCTGAGAAGACAAAGGCTGCTGCTTCAGGATCCTCCAGATCCAAATCCACCAACTCAACAAGTTCAAGCAGCAATACCACCAGTGACAAGAAGACCACCACTAGCATCATGTTTGGTGGCCAGAGAAAACCCATGGACATCGACAAGCTGAAAAAGAAGGGAAAGAGCTTTGGTTGCAGAGAGAAAGGCTATCTCCACATGGACTGCTCTCAATGGGCAAAGCCAAAGTGAAGGACTGCCAACATTTAGCAGCTTCTCAAGATGATCTTGGAGATAGAAGAGAAGAAGGATGGCACCACAGAAAAGGAACCAATGGTGTCCACTTTCAAGATCAAAGAGGTAAAAGATCCTATGAGAAAGTATCTGGCTTGGCTTCTCTGTGAAAGAGTAAGCATTCTTGAGACACTAACAGTATTACAGACATTGTTTGAAGTTTTACTAATAAATATATATTGTTAGCTCTCTCTGAGATGCTGCAAGAGCCTAAAAAGCCACAACACACTCAAGTGCCAGACAAGTTGGCTGAACAGGATGAGAGATGCCCTAAGATTAGTATCAAAGAAGTCTCTGACAAAGAAAACAATATCTTCTTCCTCTGGAGCTATGCAGAGCCTCCCAAAGCCAAACCAGTAGTCCTGCCAGCCAAAAAAAGAGCACTCAGCTCTGACTCTAAAGATGTGAGCTGATCTCTTATGATCCAATCCAGTTGTAGACAAATCCAGATGGATCAAACTCTGGACTGCTAAATAGACACTTCAGTCTATTCATGATGCAAAGACTCTGAAGAAAAAAATAGCAAAACTCTGGGTCTAAACTCATCTCAGACACTAAATAGAGATAGACAAAAAGACTACTCTACTCTTCATCCAGCCCTCTTCAAGCTCTGACTACCTTGATTTACAGTTGGAATGGTTGCATAAGCTCAAATGTGCACCCCATCAAATCTGCAGCTGTCTTGGCTAAACCATGAATGTCAAGTATCAGATTGAGATACTGGACACTCATGAGACATTCACAGTCTTAGCCCTTCTGGACTCAGGCTGTATAACAAGCACTATCAATCAGCACTTTATTAATCAGCATGGTTTGAACACTCAGAAGGCAGCAGTTCCATCTCATATCTATAATGCAGATGGAACACAGAACAAAAACAGTGACATCACCAACTATATTGAGGTTGGACTCAAGATCAGTGAGCATAAAGAATGAATCAAGCTCGCTATGATGGATCTTGGCATTGTAGAGATGTTCCTGAGGTATGATTGGCTTAAGCACTATAACTCCATCATCAATTGGCAGGAAGAGACAATAGCATTGGTCAGATGCCTCTGCCAAAAGATGCTGTTTCATCTGCTGGATGACAATCTGAAGGAGCCATGGGTAACCAACTTGGAGGAGGAAGACTGAATGCTTTTTGTGGATGTAGAAGAAATGATCCATATTTGCACAATAGGGAGCAAAAGCAATAAGTTGGCTGCTAAGGCTAACCTTGCCAAGAGAGACAAAAGCTTCAATGATCTTGTTCCAAGTCAATACCAGGAGTTCCAAAATGTGTTCACAAAGGAGAACTTTGATAAACTTCCTCCAAGGAAGCTCTGGAATCACACAATCAAGCTAGTCCCCAATGTGAAGGCAAGCCTAGACTGTAAGGTCTATCAGCTTAGCCCAACCAAGCAGAAGGAACTCAACAAATTTCTTAACAAAAATCTGATCTCCAGCCAGATCCAAGCCTCAAAATCACCTATGGTATCACCTTTCTTTTTCATCAAAAAGAAGGATGGAAAACTCCATCTGATTCAAGACTACCAGAAACTCAACAAGATAATAGTCAAAAACCATTATCCCCTCTCTCTTATCACCAACCTGATAAACAAGCTTCAGAGAGTGAAATACTTTATCAAGCTGAATGTGCATTGGGGATACAACAATGTTCACATCAAAGAAGGAGACAAGTGAAAGACTATGTTCTGAACTAACTGCAGCCTGTTCAAACCACTCATCATGTTCTTTGGACTGATAAACTCTCCAGCCACTTTCCAGTGGATGATGAATGACATCTTCAAAGACCTCATCACTCATAGCAAGGTAACCATTTACTTTGATGATATTCTCATCTTCACCAAAGATTTGGCAGAGCACTGCAGGATTGTTCAAGAAGTCCTGCAAATTCTTAGGGAGCAGAAGCTTTTTCTTAAACTGGAAAAGTGCAAGTTTGAGGTACTCAAAACAGAGTACCTTGGAGTGATCATTAGCAAGGGGGCAGTCCAAATAGACCTATTCAAAGTCACTGGCATTATGGAATGGCTAGCACTAAGTAAAAAATCTGAACTCCAGTCATTTCTGGGGTTCATGAACTTCTATTGTTGCTTTATCTGCAACTATAGCAAAATCATGTGACTAATGACCACACTCATGGGAAAGAAACTGTGGAGCTGGAGACTGGCTCAGTTGGCAGCCTTCATGGCTGTTAAAGAAAATGTTCAGGATAGCATTGTCTGTTAAGCCCAAATTCCATATGACTATTAACATGTGATAAACTGACAGAACCTCACACTTCAGATTATACTGTCAGAGTTCACTTGATGTGATAATAGCTGGTGTTGTCAAGGTGTTGCAGATTGCTCAAGATAAAATAGTGAAAGAATAAACTTTAGCTCAAAGCTGAGGTACTACAGCAAGAGCTATACTACTTAAATACTAAGTCTTTATCATTCTAAGAATAAAACTACCTAATTGTTCATCCTTGAGCTGTAGAGCTCTTTGTCCAGTGTCACTAAGATACCTACAAAAGATAATTATCTGCTGTTGAGCTGTTACTGCTGTTACTGCTGCAGATGACAAAAGAGGTGCACTGCCATTAAACAGCAGCAATAACAACAGCACTGTAGGATCTGGGTTGAAATACTGACCAATCCTTCCATAGTCCTAAGCACTGGTTTAGGCACTCTAACTAAGCAGAAATAGAGAAAAAGAAAAGAAATCAGGAAAAATTGTAACACTGTCTTCACTATTCTAGACAATGACAATTTATTCTATGTGGAAGCAGATTCTAGTGAGGAGGCAATTAGTGCTGTTCTGTCTCAAAAATAGAATGACAAATAGTGTCTCATAGTATTTTTATCTAAGGTGCTCTCAGCAACAGAGTACAACTATAAAATCTACAACAAGGAGCTCCTTACTATTATACTCACACTGGAAGAATGGTGGCACTACCTTATGGGTGCTAAACTCAACTTTGAAATCTGAACAGATCACTAAAACCTCTAGTACTTCAAGAAGCTCCAGAAACTCAATTGCAGACAAGCACAGTGGATTACTGAACTCATGGAGTATCAATTTACTCTACACCACAAATTCAGGACAGCCAACAAGAAGACCAACCTGCTCAGCCAAAGAGCTGATCACAGCATGGGAGCAGATAACAATAAAGATGTTGTCCTGCTCAAGCCAGAGTTCTTCTGGACAATGACATTGCCAATAGAAGAAGAAGTTCATTGGAACATTTGAAATGCACTGAAAGAGATATGCTTATGAGACAGGGGTATCTAAGACTCACTCAATCATAAGCAAGAGATTTCAAAGCAAGACAGTCTTCTCATCTATGATGGAAGAGTCTATGTCCCATGAGACCATGTGCTCTGAGGGTGCATCATTTCAATGTCATATGATCATGTCATAGCTGGACATCCAGGTGTGGAAAAAATGAAGGAGCTTGTCCTTTGAGAATTCTGATGGCTAAAGATGAAGGGAGAAGTCAAGGCATACATTCATGGATGCCAAGATTATCAAAGAAACAAAACAGACATCTGGAAGCAGTGATATGCAGGCTACATGTCCAGCTCTATAATTTGCAAATTCTGCATAACACACTAAAATATACTAGTAACTGAGAATCATTAGCCAGTAGAGGACTATGGCTGAGGCTCCAAGCTGATAGTCATGCTAGTCACTAATACTAAGTCCAAATTGGACTTTGTAAAAATAACATGGCCTAAAGATAAAAATCCTAAGTCAGGTTTGAACTTAGAAAAGTTCTGCACCACATCTTGGAAAATACTAAGTCCAAGTTGGACTTAGAAATGGTATCTCAAATAAGGCCAATTCTACATGCCACTAAGACAAGCATATTCTAAGACAGCTAGAGGTATAATACCATAGCCAGTTGTGGAGTATTGAGTAGAGATAGCATCATCCAGAAGCAGTAAAAAGAGAGACCCAATGATCTGTGGCTAGCACTGTGAGTTTTGACTCAAATACCTAAGTCTAAATTTTCTAGATATCAGATGACCTAAAAGACTTAGAATTGAGAGGAATAGAGTGGATAGAACTGGTTGACTGAGCCTGACTGGGCCTGATCAATCAAGCTACTAAGAATAACTCAGAGGATTAAAACTCTGAGTAGACAGAAAGGAGTTAGGTACCCACAGGTGCTGTAGGCTTAAAATAAAGCTGTGCAGTGGCCAGGTGGGTCTGGGCAAGCCTAGGGGAGTCCAGGAGTGCCACCATTCCAGAATAATAGTGTGATTCTGCTTTAAACAGGAGAAATATTATTTTGAATGCTTTATTTATAAATTCTGTACCTGTTGTTAATGTATAAAAGAAGGGAATGGGAAGGAAATAGCAAGCAATCAACCCACCCCCACATTCAGACCTTTTAGCCCACTGTAGCTAGTCTCTGGGACAACAGATTTTGAGTTCTACTTCGACTTAGTGATTTATTTAAGTTGCTTTGTCACTTAGAGAGGATTGGATTGGAATAATAACTGTATTTTAGGTTTTGGATTAATTTGGGTTCCAAACTATAAGGGTTTTGGTGTCAGAATACAAGTTCTTTGGTTTTTAGAACCACTAGCCAGCCAAGAGTGCAGCTAGTCAAGCCTAAGTGCTTGATAGACTTAGTATTTGGATTTCAGAGTTTATTGAGTTTTAGAATATTCTAAGTTGATTTGAGGTGCAATTTGGCATTGATTCTAAGTCCTAATTATACTTAAACATTGCTATAAACTACTCTCATGAGTATCGCATCTTTGAAAGTAAGATAGAGTTGAATAACTGTCTTTATTGACTGTTTCTTTGATTTTACTTAAGACTGTAAGAGTGCTTCTATTGTACTCAAAACAACTGACCTCAACTGTATTTGGTGATTGTGTATTGAGTGGTTAGGTGTTGGTGCTTGAGAGTTCATTCCTCATTCACCTCTCTTAGTCATTTAGCTGTTGCCAAGCACATCAGTGGCAGGCACCACTTTATCTGAACTAAGTCTCCACTAGACTGTGGAAAATCATATCAGTTGATATGATAACAGATCTACCCAAGTCAAAAGGGTATAATTCTATTCTCATTATTATTGATTGCTTTTCCAAAATGATCATTTCAGTAGCCACAAGCAAGGACTTAACAGCAGAAGGATAGGCATGCATTCTTTACAATAAAGTTTTTGCCAAATATAGCATGATGCCAAAGAAAATCATCTTGAACTGAGACCCACAATTTGTGTCAGACTTCATAAAAGAATTATACAAGATGCTGGACATCAAAGAAAATCTGTCCATGGCCTATTACCCACAGACTGACAGACAAACTGAACAGGTCAATCAAGAGGTTGAAAAATATCTTCACCTTTTCATCAATTGGCATCAAGATGATTAGTCCAAATGATTGGCACTGGCCACCTTCTAACACAACAACCAGATGCACTTCTTGACAAGATATGCATCCTTCTGAATTATCACTGGCTGAAATGCCAATGTGCATCCAGTGCACACAACTCATAACTTAAGGCCAGCAACACCTAAATTTCTTTCAGATATGGA